CTCATTATCCTCCTGTCATTTTTCTAGCAGATGCGATTGATACAATGTTATGGTCCTTGAAGGTGAGATCCTCCGACATGATCACTCCCAGGTCTTTGACGTTGGTGTTTCGCTCTATTTTGTGGCCAAAATTTGTTTTGTACTCTGATAAAGATTTAATTTCCTCATTTTTACCAATCTGGTAATTAAAAATTTTCCCATCGTTAACTTCATATTGTTTTCTCCCAGCCACAAAAAATTTTGGTTTGGCCGCCGGACCTTGCAGTGTCGAAATGGAAGACACTGTCATGCAGTTTCGGGTTTCATCTGAAAGGAAGACACGGTGCGGGGCGGGACACCCTTGTCTATGCGGATATGGGATGAGGAAAAGATGGAGGAGTAGTCCCTTTGTGGAACAGAGCTTTTCCCGTAGCTGCCTGGGACTTTATCTGTTGGATACTTTTTGTGTATAAAATGTTTTTACTAGTAACATTTTCATATATAATTTTGAAAAAAATTTCTAGATGGATTAATGCAAATTCTTTTTACATAAATAAGATATTTAATGTGCCCAAGAGTGAATATTATTAAAATGAGATATGTCTCACAGAAAATGTAAACAAAAGGTGGCACGCCCCGCTTTTTGAAAGCCCGCTTGCCATTAGAAATTTTTGGTCAAAAATTTAAATTTGTGCATTAAGGGAATGCCATAAGATAAAACCCAAAAAAAGCGGGCCCACGTACTGGAGTCTACCTGGAGAGTTTTCCCGGGGGATCAACCCCCCGTGTCAAGTCCACGCCCAGGCCCCTGGGGATCGGGGGCGGGTAAACCGGGCTGCTAGCTGCCGCACGATTTTCAAGTTGAACCACAGCCCGGTGTATGGCACCGCCTTTATATCTGCCCAGCCCCCTCTTAAAGGGGGCGGGCGGGGGCCTGTTTTAAATTTCCCCCCTTAGATGGGGGGAGGCTGTGAACAGTTTGGGCCCCCCGGGACACTTGAGGTTTCTTTTTAAAATCGGTACCTGCCAGGGGCTGTGGTTCGGGTCGTGGACTGCGTGCACCCAGCGTAACAGCCTGGTTGATCAGCCCTCCTCCCTATGGGGCCCTGGCACAGACTGGGCCGCGGGGGGATTTAAAAACCCCCGGAATTCTCTCAGAAAAACTAAGGGCACTCCTACTTTTTTTGGGGTTTTTGCCCCCCCTCCCCAGCTTTTATTTTCAGGGAGTGATTTTGTGTGCAATTCGGGACCATTCACTCTAGAATTTTCCAAGGGTGATTATGTATCTCTCTCTCCCCTGCATTCCGCGAGTAAAGCAAGGGGTTTCCAAGCATTCCCAGTGTTGAGGTGCTTTGATAGAACTTGTATGTGCGAAAAGGTTTCTCTGTAACTCTCTTGATCGCAATTTCACCTGCTTTGAACACAGATGTTAATTACACAATTTTTTCACTAGAGAGAACAAGTGATTTAAAAAAGGTCACACTGGTTGGCATATCGGTTCTGAATTTTCCCCATTTTGATATGGCACTGTTTGACCCTTAAAGGAGTCTCGACATTCCACTCCCAGGGCCCTCACATTTTTTTTTTGCCCCTTTGCATGATCAAGTTTGTAGAAAATCATTCTAGTTATTATTTTCCTCCAGTTTTCCCTAAAAGAGTAGTTGGAAATTTTTCTTTATTGAACATACATTGTTTTCCTTTTCCCTTTGAAAACGGTTTGCATCTTCTTGGAGGTTAAAAAGTGTCTTCAAAAGATGAAGTCTCATACAAAGGATGACACGGTGCTGTGGGTTTTCATTTCTGTCTATGTCTGATATGAGGATGGGGACAGGAGGGGGCAAGTACAGTGGACCCCGGGTAAAGCTATTATCCGTTTTTGAGGCTTCGTAAATCAAAAAAATCGTTAGTCAAGTTTAAATTTTCCCCATGAATAAAGGAAACAAATTAATCCGTGCAAGCACCCAAAGTATGAAAAAAAACAAATTTAACACATGAAATATTAATTTTTAAAACACACAAACTGAAGAAGACATGCACATTACATGCTCTTCCCTTTTTTTGAAGATTGGTGGAAAAGATGGGGTGGGAAGAGGGGAGGTGTGTGGGCTTGTGTTTAGAAGAGGAATCCCCCTTCCCTTGGGGGGTGGGGTGGCAAGTCCTTTTTTCAGGGTTACTTTCCCTTCTTCTTTTAAATGCCACTAGGACGCTTGAGAGTCATGGACCCCTGTCGCACAACATATTGCCCCTAGGGCCGACCTCCCCCTTCCCTTTTTGACATTCCCAAAGTGTTTCACAACATTGTCGTGTCACCCTTAAAAACTTGTTCGGGTTTTAGTCCCTTTACTGTTAGTACTCCTTGAATTCCTGCCTATTTTTTTATTTCTTTTTGGCCAAACTGGGTCTCACCATGCCTTATCAATTATGTATGCCATACGATTTTAAATCTCCAAAAACCCCTTTCTGGCCTTAAATTACTCACATACCAATAGTTGCGCTTTTTTTTAATTAAAAGTCATGCAAAATTCCTACCTTTTCACATTATGCTTGAGAATCTATCTCCTGCTATCTGTTTTTGTTTATCCCTACCAATAAAAAGTCTCTCAACATCTTTTTATCACTTCCCCATCTCAGTTTCGAAAAAAATAGTTGCACTTTGGCAAGAACAGCTTCCTGATTGCCGTTTTTTTTGGGCCCCAAAAGTACGATGGTTGATTGGGGTTTTTTGTACAGCCCGGCCAGCTCGAGACATGCACTCCACTTTATCTTTGCAAAGATTCTTTCTTTAATCCATATAATTCCACCCTTTTTTCTGTAGGGTTGGCACTGAAATTTTTTGGGGCCCCTGGTGACTTATTTGAGGTGCAATCACTAAAAAGCTGTGTAATTGAAATGTTCCGTTGTATGCTTGGAAGCGACCCCGGTGGCTGCTATTTGTAAAACATGGCCAGAAGTGGACGGTCTCAACGGAACGAATAGGTTGGGCGGTTTTTTTGCGCTAACGAGGCAAAATTTTTGGAATAAAATGTATCATAGTGATTTATGTTAAACGATGCCATCATGGTCGAGGGTCCCCTGTATGTGCTTTTTGAACAGACTTATCACTTGGCGCTTCCAAATTTTAAATTTTGTGACCACTACTCTTTTCGTTCAAATTTTTTAGAAAATTAAAAACCATCTCCCCCCTTTGCCCGTATTCCCTTTGCACTATTTTTTGTGTTATTACACCATGATCATATTGTCAAAGGGTTTTGCAAAGTCGTGTATATTACATCTGCATTCTGTTTTTCTTCCAATACAAAAAAGAGGGAAATACTGCTGAAGAAAATTTAATAAATTAACCCTTGACTGTCACAACCCCAAATCTTGAGGTGTCTCCCGGTGTCGAAAAATTTTTGAAAAAAAAAAAAAAAAAAAAATCTTATGAAATGATAGAGAATCTTTTCCCAATGGTAATGACACCAAAAGAACGAAATTTGATGGAAAATTTACGAAATTACACTCTCGCGAAGTTAGTGACCTCTGTGATATTTATGAATTGGCGATTTCACCTACCTTGAGCCCTATTTTCGGCTAATTCCATTGTTTCAGTCGACCAAACTCATAACTATTTCTTTAGAACTCCATTTGTTCTATCGAGTGAGTACAAGAAACTGCCCATTTACCGATTTCAACGACCCAATAACGTGGTCAGAAATTTGCAATTTGGCCAATTTCATGCAAATTAAAAAATATGCCAATTTCAAAATTGGGTCCAGAATGAACAATGCAGACATTTCTGGCTCTAAAATAACATTTTCTTTGTTCATCAGTCATGTGTCCAGGCCCCCCTGATATGACTCTTGCTTTCTATTTTGAATTTTTATTCAAACAAAAAACAAAAGATTTGCTGTTATGCAGACTACTGCAATATTGTAATAACTGTATAAATAATGTCAACCCATTCATGACTGCATATTAGAATGGCTAGTTGGACATTTATTGGACAATGACATAATTTGTTTACTCTTGAACATCAGCAAAAATCAAACATTTCCCCTAGCTTGAGCTCTATTTCAAGGTCCTTTTCATAGTAAAACCAATCAAAATCACCTCTTTTTCTATAATATGTTTTCCATTCTATCAAATGAGACTAAGAAAATGAGAATACAACCAAACATACTATACAAAAATACACCACAAATTGGGCGTTTTAATCCAAAAACACGGTCGGAGTTTTTTTCTCATTACGCACTGCATGCTGCACGATTTTCTTTATATGGTGCACACTGACCACATAGACCCATTCTCTCACATGTGGGCTAACCAGCTTTCTCCTGCTTGATTTGAAGCCACTAGAATTTTTGAGTATATATATGTCAAACATATTGGCTCGTAAGACGTATACATACGACCGAAACAGTCAAAGGGTTAAGATATGCTAAACCAGGCACGATAAATTTAGAAAAGGGAAGTAGATTCATCTAAATCAAAGATTTGAACACACTATATGAATGCAGCCAAGCAGCCATGGCTGGAAAAACAAAAAAGCAGGTAGATAAGATAATAGGAAGTAATATAATCTAAGATTATAACAAAGTCAACCCTCATTTCTATTACAATTCTGGCAAAAATTAATTTGTCATATGATGGGTACTAATAACTGTATTAAACATTTACCCCAATTATCTTGTGAATACAAAATTTATTGCACAGGCATATCTCGCTAATATGGCACTTTTCAATTATAGTCATGTTCATTATTTTTGGCGGTGATTAGTTCATCAGGTTAGCAATACAGTACTGTAGCATTTTTAATTTATTATTTTTACTTTTGCATCATTTTTTTAGGCCTAGTGCTACTGTGCACTTAATAAATGATGCTTTTATATGCACTGGCAACTGAAAAAAAAAAAAAGGCTGTGATTTGCTTTATAGCGGTGGTCTAGAACATAACCCGCTGTATTTGCAAGGTGTGCCTGTAATTTGCTACATTATAGTCAATAGCAGTGTTAATTCTCATCTGATGATGACACTGAACCCACCTTTACACTCATCAACATCTGCACAAGAGCGTCCATCCATGAGCAGCATATATCCAGTGGAGCAGGAGCAAGAGAACAGTCCAGGAGTATTGATGCAGATATCATCACAACCACCATTGTTCACACTGCACTCGTCAATATCTTCCGAAGAGGAGGAATTTATTAAAAATGATTACATTACAGTACTTATGAAAATGCTATTTTCACTAAAAGCTTTTTGTCATGAAATTTTTTTAGGGCAGAAAATATCATCAGCTCAGCATGGCTGAAGGACAGAGGAAAATATTCCCAAAGGGCAACATTAAATATTGAAGAACAACATATCACTAAGTTGGAAGGCACACTCAGCATATATGAGTAATACAAATACATTTAGAGTAGAAACAACCTTTACTAAGTCAATATTTTACTAAAGGAAAGCTTTATCATGTCAGGACTTGACAAACTTCTTGAGTAAAATGTTGTCCTAATAAAAATTTACTTTGTACTAAACATCCTATTATCCATGGCACTGCATTATTAAAGTATTTATGTGGAGGCAGCTAATGCAGACACTAAGATAATGACTAATTGTAAATATTTGAATTATCAATTATATACAGTAAACCCTCTCATATCACATGGGTTACATTCCTGAAAATTGGCATGTAACAGCATAGCATTCCATAAAGTGAAGACCATATGGGAAAAATAAGGCTAAGTTTCAGACACTTCCAATTCTTTTATTACTGTACCAGGTAAGAGTTACTATGGTATATAACTTACCTTGCATTCTGGTAGTGTTGATGAGAGATAATGTTGTTCTACTGGGCTGAGATGGATTGCAGTGGCTCCTGTATTGATATGGATGCAGAGTGGTCAGTAGGTGATGATTGTATTGGATTGCTTATGCATTTTGTAATGCATCTCTGGTCTGTTTTATCCAGCAGTACTTTATACAGCTGATGACAAGACATCACTACTTGCTCCAGAATCATCTTCAGACCAATGCTTTTAGACTTCACATGATCCTTTTCAGTGAAAGAAGTCTGCAATTTTACCAATAACATGGAATAAATCATGTAACTCCTACAGTGTTAACTGCATATATTCAGGTTCTTCCCATTCTTTTCTTTTATCTGCTTCTATATTAATTTGGTATTGAGCTCCTCTGCGATTTCTTCTGCAGCTGATATATTATTATCATCCAACAATTCAGGAGCAGCTTGTGATGCCTTCCCATCAGCTGCATAAAGTAATGAAAGGCAAAACAGACCAGGCACATTACCAAATTCCTCAATACTCAAGTACAATCATTAACTTCAGTGCAAGAACCTCAGTCATCCACCTCAGCCAACAATCCACAACTTTCCATGTCAACCCAGAAGGGCTACATCATCCCTCTCCACTCATTTTAAAAATCATCGATGTACACCAGAATTCAGAATTTAAGGTAAGAAATATTATTTATGTAACTCGTGCAGATATAAGTATCGTATTAACTATATAACACATCACTACATCAGCCTACAATTATATTATTACCGTTGTTTTTTTAGCAAATTTGGTTGGCTTTTATGGGGGCTTTAAGAAACGTAACCCTATTTTTCACATATGCTCACCAGTTCATTTTACACAATTTTTGATTACAGGGAATTTTAGGGAACATTATTATTTATCTTTATTTATTTATTTATTTTTTATTTGGACATGATACATAGTTGTACAAAGAAATATAGTGATTGGGTGTACATGCCAAAAGCCCCTTGTATGCAGAGCATTATGGGCAGGCTTAAAATTAACTTAAGATTAACTAAGCAATGATACATTCAGTGGTAAAAATTACAGTAAACAAATTACACCATGAAGTATAAATGAGTATTTCAAATAAGAAGCATTAAAGTTGTACAAATTTCTAGCATAATGTATAATATAATCGAATCAGATCAAGTAAAATCAATGATTTGTAGTGCAGAAACAGGTCATATTAGATGAGTTACTGTGCATTCAAGAGAAATGGAGATTCTATAAGCTAATGTAATTAAAAAAAAACCAGTTTGATGAGATTCAGTTATATTCAGTATTTATTTAGTTGTGGCTGAGTAAGTGGTTTTTAAGAAGAGTCTTGAACTGATAAACAGACAGTGTTTCTTTTATATTCACAGGTAATGAATTCTACATTTTTGGGCCTCTTATGTGAATTGAGTTTTTACATAGTGTGAGATGGACACGGGAAACATCAAAGAGTGATCTGTGTCTTGTGTTATGGTCATGTGTTCTGTTGAGGATGGTAAGGAGAAGTTTGAGGGGAGGGTTTATATCCAAGTTTACTGTTCTATGTATGTAGTAGGTACAATAATAAGTATGGATGTTTTGTACGGCGAGTAAGTTTAGCGTTTTGAATATTGGTGGAGTTTGCTGCCTGGAGTGAGAATTTGTTATCATTCTGACTGCAGCTATCATGTTAACTGATGGTCAACTGTATTATTATTTTTATTATTATTATTAAAACAATAGTCTCACCTTCACAGTGGGACTTCTGCCCTGTTTGTTGGTATCCATCATTACACATACACTGGTATGTGCCCATCATATTTTCACACACACCATTTGAACAGATTCCGGAGGTGCGAGAACACTCATCAATATCTTTACAATAGCGCTGATTTGAGGACAGCTCATGTCCTGGAGGGCATTCACACCTGGGAACATAAACAACCCATCATCAATGTCTGAATAATACAAATAAACCTAATTACAAAATATGGATGGACCCCAATGGAAATAAGTAAAGGACCCCAATGGAAATAAGCAAAGGACCCCAATGGAAATAAGTCACTGTGTCTGACTTTTTTGGGTTATCCTAGGTTCTCTACACATATGCTGCTATGTATGATAATTCTATGTAACTGTATTTGTGTATACCTGAATAAACTTACTTACCTGAAGATTTTAAAAAGTACACATCAAAAATGAAGTATCAAACAATACTACATGAACATTATTTAAGCTCAGTCATGAAAGATCCAAAGGTTGTATCACAGACTATACAACCTACCCATTAAGTTCTTGACAAATAGAATTATAATAATAAAAATAATAATAATAATAATAATAATAATAATAATAATAATAATAATAATAATAATAATAATAATAATAATAATAATAATAATAATAAAGGAGGGGTGTTAATGTTGTAGTTTTAAAATTGTAGTGTAAGCATGCCTCGGCAAAAAGGATAAAGAAAATTGATATGAAATTTCTTTTTTTTTCTCAACCATCCTGCCTTGGGGGGGAACAGCCAGTGTGTTAATAAAAAAAATGAAAAATAATATTTTTTATAATAAAAATAATAAAATAATATCTATTTCACAAGTATAGTACAAAGAATAGAAGTTTTAGCCCCACATAAATCACTATTTTAAAAAAACCCCTTGTTACGAAAATTGGGGCAAGTAGGTCAATTCTGCCCCCAAAGTGAAACCCACACCATCAACTAACACCCGGTCCCCATTAACTGCTGGGTGAAAAAGGGAAAGCAGGTGTCTTAAGGAACACATTAGAAATAAAATTAAAAATAGTTTTTAGAACCTATCCATATTTTTTACAATCACCTTTTTAAAAAATTTTGCCTTTAAATTAGTCACACAACTTTGGGGATCCCTTTTAAATTATTTGTGAACCTTTTTTTATTTTTAAAATATGACTCCGTTATTACACTCAAATCATTCATAATTTTTTTAAATTTTCACCAGTTTGTTCCCACCGAGGGCAAGGTGCTCAAAAAGAAAAATGAACGTTTCTCTTTTTAAATTTAGAAATGCATACATACATACATAATATATACATATAACATAATACAATATACTAATACACACACACCCCCCCAACATTATATTATATATATATATATTATATATATATATATATATAAAATATATTTTTTTTATTTTTTTTATAAACACCGGCCGTTCCCCCCAAGGCAGGGTGGCCCCAAAAAAGAAAAACTTTCCCCCTCTTTCACTCCACACTGCTTCCAAAGGGTGTTTTACACTACAGTTTTTAAACTGCAACATTAACACCCCTCCCAATGCGGACTGTACTTCCCATCCCAGGACTCAAGCCCGGGCCTCCCGGTTTCCCTGAATCCCTTCATAAATTTTACTTTGCTCCACCCAAAGCACGTCAATATTAAAAAACCATTTGTCTCCTTCACCCAAACAAACCGCCACGCACCCTGCTGGAAGTCCAAGCCCCCGCCCCAAAAAACCCCTTTAAAACCCCCCCCCCCCAACCCTTCCTGGGCCGCCCCCAACCCCCCCTTTCCCCCCTTACAGACTGATAACTCTTGAAGTCATTCTTTTTCGCTCCATTCTCTCTAATGTCTCTCTACATGTTTTTAATAATTATAATATATATATTTATTATATATATATATATATAATATTATTATAATATATATATGTATATAGTATAATGTATTATGTATATATGTATATTGTTATATTATTATATATAATATATATATAATATATATATATTATAAAATATATATATTATAATATATATTATAATATATTTTTAAAAATATTTTAAAAAATATATAAATATAAAATATATAAATAATAAAATATAAATATTAAATATATAAATTTATATTTTTTTTTTTTTTTTTCAACAAGTCGCCTTTCCCCCACCAGGCAGGGGACCCAAAAAAGAAAAAAAATCCCCAAAAAAAATACTTTATCATCATTCAACATTTTTCCCCACACTCGCACATTATCATTTTTTTTGCAGAGGTGCCAAATACAAAATCTGAAGCTAAACATATAAAGATACACAACATTCCCTCCAAACTGCCAATACCCCCCCCAAACCCCTCCTTTAAAGTGCACTTGTATTTTCCCTTTTTCCAGGACTCAAGCCGACTAATAAAAAAACCGGTTCCCTGAATCCCTTCACAAAAATATTACCCTGCTCACACTCCAACAGATCGTCAGGCCCCAAAGTCCATTCGTCTCCATTCACCCATTAAAAACGCTCACCAAGCTTGCGGAAGCCCAAGCCCCTTACCCACAAAACCCCCTTTACCCCCTCTCCCCAAACCCCTTTCGAGGAACCCCTCCCCCGCCTTCCTTCCCCTATAGTTTTTAATGCTTTCCATGTCATTTACTGTGATCCTTTCTTCTAAATGACCAAACCACCTCAACAAACCCTCTTCTGCCCTCTGACTAATACTTTTTTTAACTCCACCCCCTTTCCTAATTTCCACACCCAATTTTTTGCTATTTTTACACCACACATTCCCCTTTAAACAGGAACTCCGCTGCCTCCAAAGTCTCCCCTGCTTGTATTTACCACCCAACTTCACACCCTATAAGAGTGTTTGGGACACTATAATTTTTTTACTTCCCTTCTTTGGGCCTCCTAGATAACGTTTTTTTACCCACATATACCCCAAAGCACCATCACCTTTTTTTCCCCTCAATTTTATATTAACCTCATCCCCCATAAATCCCCGCCGACACTCAACTCCCAATATCTGAAACATTCACTTCTTCCAACTCCTCCTCCCCAATTTTATATCCAATTTTTCTTTATCTAAATATTTGACACCCTCATCACCTTTCTCTTTTTATTTTATTTCAACTTTTACCTTTTCACACATTCCCAAACTCTCCACTAACCTTTGCAATTTTTTTTTAGAATCCCCCAAAGCACATTCATCAGAAAAAGTAACTGTTCAATTCCATTTTGAAATTTTATTCCCCAAATTTAAACCCACCCCTCTCCCCAAAAACCCCAATTTACTTCCCTTTTAAACCCCCTTATAAAAATATTAAACAAACCCTGGTGAATTAACACCCTGTCCCCAAGCCTACTTTTACCGGGGAAATAGCTCCCTCTCTTCTCAACCCTAACCTGAGCCCCACTATCCTATAAAAACTCTTAAAAACATTTAATAACTTACCACCTATTCCCAAACTTTTCAACATCTGCCACATTGCTCCTCTATCCACCTATCATAGCCTTTTTTAAAAAAAAAATGCAATAAAAACTTCCCTATCTTTATCTAAAAACTGTTCACAATTGCTTCAATGTAAACACCCGATCTACCATCCCCTACCCACTCTAAAACCTCCTTGCTCTCCCAATCCCACATTCTGTCTTACCTTAAACTTTTAAATTTAACCCTACCGTACACTTTTCCTGGGATACTCATAAGCTTATTCCTCTATAATTTTTTACAGTCTCTTTTTTCCCTTTCCCTTTTTAAAAAGGGACATACATGCTCTCGCCCAAACCCTAGGGACCTTCCCCTCTTTCATACATTTATTAAACAAAAGTACCAACCCCTCCAACCCATTCCCCCCCCCGCTTTTAACATTTCTGTCATGATCCCATCATTTCCCGCTGCTTTAAAACCCCCTTTTTTTTTACGTAATGCCCCACGTACCCCCCCCCACTTACTTCTGCCTTCTTCACTCCTAAAAAATGGGTTTCCCCTGGGGGGGGCCAGTGCTGAAATTACTGCCTCGTTTCTTCCTTAAAATTTAAAAGTTCCTAAAAATTCTCGCCATCTACCCAATACCTCCATCCCCACACTAACTCCCCTACTCTGTTTTTTTAAATGCAAATCCATATTTTTTTCCCCAGGCTTTCTTTAACTTTTTTAACCTCACTCCAAAATTTTTTTATTTTCATTAAAATTTTTTGACAGTGCCTCTCCCCCTCTTCATCTGCTCTCCTTTTGCCTTCCCCACCACTCTCTTTACCTTTTTTTTACTCTCCATATCCGCCTTCTTATAACACTTCTGCTTTGTAAAAACCTCTCATAAGCTACCTTTTTCTTTTTATCACACCCTTTTCTTTTCATTCCCCCAATCACCCTCTTTCCTCCTGCCCCACCCCCCTATAAAAACCCCAAAAATTCTGCCCCCCCTTCTAATACGCATTTTTAAAACTATTCCAACCCTCTTCAACCCCCCCAATACTCATCTTTGCACAGCCCCCCTTTCGCCAATATCGTTATACTCACCCGAACTTTCCCCCTCCCTTAGTTTATACCTTTCACCTCCCTCTTACTTTTGTTGCCACCTTCCCCCTTTTTCCCCTTACCTCTTATCTAACTGAGCTAAACTAAATAATGATCCGATATATCGTTTCCCCTCTATAAACATTACATCCTGAGCCTACCCATCAACCTTTTATCCCCAATACATAATCTAATAAAATTTCATTTCGTGCTCTCATACCTTTGTATATTTATTTATCCTCTTTTTTATAAAAAATGATTTTTATTACCAAATTTCTTTCACACATGCTAATTAAAAAGGGCCCCCATTTACTTTACCCCTGGCACCCCAAATTTTCCTACTACCCCTCCATAAAATTTTTACCCACTTTAGCATTAAAATCCCCAACCCCCATTACTCCACACTTGATTCAAACTCCCCACGCATTCACTCAACATTTTCCCCAAAAAATTTTCTCTTCCCCCTTTCACTTCCTTTCTCCAGGTGATACACGCTTATTATAACCCACTTTTACTCCAATCTTTATTTTACTCCCCCAAAATCCTTGAATTAATACATTATATCCCCTTTTCCTCCATAGCTTATCCTGTCAACATTATTGCTACTCCTTCTTTAGCTCTAACTCTATTTTGAAACCCTTTTCCCTGACCTAATCCCATTTA